GTTCTTAAGACTCTGACAAAGCAAGATGGGAGTGTGTTGTTTTCTCCTACAACTGTAATTACTTTAAAAAGGTTAACAAAATGACTGCTAAGCTGGGGAACCCCAAAGGACAGAAGGGTAGGCAACAACTTTGCAAAAATAAGATAATGTAAGTTAATTAGGAGTCTAACTACAGAATCTCCAACGAGGTGTGCCACAGCAATGCACCCTCTGCAGCTTTTCATGAAGTTATCACAGCTGAAGCAAGTGTCTGGAGAGCGAATACGATAGGAGATTTCCTTAGATAATGTGGAGCAGAGCCCCTAGATGTGGTCCCAGATACACGTGGAGTGTGAGCAAGATCTAAACCTTTGTTTATCTAAGCCCCTGAGATTTGGGGGTTGTTTGCAACTGCAGCAGAACCTGGTCTGTCCTTACTGATAAAACGAGGGCAAAGAATACATCTCCTTCCTCTGAAGCATTCTCGCTGTAATTATTGTGCAGCCAAGAGCAAACTTCATCATATATGTGTAATACAGCCGAGGGTTCTGAATGCTGGTTGTAATGTCAAGTGAAAAACTGGTTGCATTTCCTTAGAGATTACGGTGTTTCGAAGAGGTAATTGGGGAAATTAGACACCAGTGATTGACTGCGGGCATCATATTAAAACTTAATATTCTGCAATTATAAAGAAAGACAGGGGTGAAGGTCACATAACAAGGGATACACTCCAAGTACCATTCAAGAGTGTGTGTTCAGGATGAATAGCATCTGTAGAGGGGGGCTCAAAACAAAAAGAGAGAATGAACAAGAAGTTACAGTAGCAATGGTGAAGACCAAAGCAGATCAGCATTTTCGAATACAGAGCCTATTTCATTCTGTTTGAAATCTGGAGAGCACCTGCCTATGAGCTTGCCTACTACTGTGTGGAAGGCATAGGTCTCCAGTTCCAGCATCCAACCAACAAACGCTGGCAGTAAGTTGTGGTGGGGAAGGATCAGAGATAACCAAGGATGAGCCTGCAAGACACTGTATCCAAGAGATTCCAGAAGGAATAGCAAAAGCAGATTTTTCTTAACCAAAAATAAAGAAGCTCAACAAGTAGTCAAAGATGATGTTACTGGTTTCTTGTTTAACAGGTAAATGAACCAGCTCTGGAGCCCCCTCAAATCTTTCGCAGTTAGCTTGGATTGGAAATTTCCATTCCATTTCCACAAATAATTTAAGTGCGTCAGAAAGTGATATCTACCAATCTACACTGGTACTCACACTGGTGAAGGAGGACTTTTGTGTTCTCCTTTTATATGTCTCAGCATTATTTGAAATTTGTACAAAGGACATGTATTACAGAGAACAAGGTTTGACATCTAATGGTTAGACAATCAGGCACTGAAGAAAGATAATGGGAAATGCAGCCAAGTAACACATAAAAGAGTGTACAGTATGTGACAGATTACGGTTGGGCTCACCTGAATGTCTGGAGGGAGTAGAGAGGGTCTCATCTGAGCTGTAGTCCGAGTTGTTGCTTAGAACCATTTCTGACCATGCATCAGTCTTAAATAGTCAAAAGGTACAGAAGGAGAGACTGCTCGGCATCTCAAGTCCCAAGATAGTCACGCAGTTGTTTAAGGGTGACTTTGAACAGGTTTGGGAGCAAGTAAAAAGAGAGATACAAGAAATTTAGAAAGAGAAATACAAGAAATTTAGATCGGGAGACCACTTAAGGCATTCCAAGTGAAACAAAAGATGTCACCAAAAAACCAGAGGGGCAATGGAAATGATTCAGACAAAGGATTTCATGTATCAAATTTTTCTGGACAATGTAGTGTTCATAAAAATATATTGATTGGTTCACAGAGGACTGAGGTAGAAAGAGCTTTGATATGGGTTTAAGGCACAGGGTGTTAGGCAGCGACCCCCAATGGGGTGTTCCTAGCTAAGTGACCCCATCTCAAAGAGAAATGGACGTTAAGGTCAGTTGTCAGGGGGAATCCCACCTTTGAAAGAATCTGTGGTATCTTCTCCCCACCCCCACGAGATAGAAAATGACATTTTCTTCTTTCAGTTGTTTTTCAGTGACCTCCATAGTACACTTGAGAGAGTGGAGGGATGTTAGGGTCATAACTCAACTTGCGAACTGTGTGAAGCAAGGTGAAAGTTTTCTCAACACTGGAAAATCTAAGAATTTGTCTCACACACAGAACTTCGAGTGCCGGACTATGAAGAAATTGACGTTTTTACCTAAAATAACTGTTCAAACTGTACTTTTGCTACGTTTTATAAACATCAGAAGGGCACCACTGACACCCAAGTGAAAACTCCCCACCTTGGCCAAAATGGTTTCACATAAAAACAACTTCCCTACCAAGTAAAACTTTCTGCACTCCTTGTGCCCAGGGGAATTAGGGGCAGGAGAGCTAGTGCCTTCTTTGCAAAGAAGCAAAGATTTTAACTCCAAGTGGGAAAGATGCTTTTAGGCTGAAATGCTGCTGGCTTTACCATCTCTCTTTTTCTCTTGGGAGCGAAGTGGGTACCTCCCAAATTCACCCAGCAGCAGCCCCACACCGTGATTTGTCTGTTGTCCACCTTTTAACTCGCTCTGTATAAACATTTCCCCCTCGCCCGCAGACAGCCGCCCACCTCCGCCTGCCTCCCTGCTCGCTGGCCTCCCCTCCCCAGGCTTCAGCTGGAGGAGCGCCTCGCAAACAACTCAGTGCTTTGGGGCTCAATGTTCTTCACGCCTGCCAGTTCTTTCAGGAGGTCGTTTACACGCTTGGCTCTTACTTCAATGAGCTACTCGGGAGCAGCCAGTGAAAAGTGCTTTTACTCCTGAAAAATATTGGAGCGCTTTGTTGCAAATGGTGGGTGAATCCATGGTCCCCCATCCTTACAGATAATGGCCAACCCAACGCGACTGAACTGAGGCCACTTCCGGGGTGATCGTATTCCCATAAAGGGTGACTAGACAATTTCAGCTCCCAGATTATGTTTTAGAAATCATTTGCATGTTCTCTCGATTCATCAAACCTCGTTTGGCCCTGCCTACCTGTCCACCCTCTTGTCTGTAAATTGCCATGGTGCATAACTCTTAATGGGCCAAAGAAGGCCCACAAAGCTAACTTTTACTCATTACATCCACATAGAGCGTATGAAGAAAAACACCCCTTTGCACACACCCTTTAGAAAAGGCATAAATTTTCACAGGAAAAATATTTCCAGGAGAGTTCTATGTATTTCTTTACTCAGTTGTAATGGCAATATTATCGAATTAGTTTGTCCTGCCTCCAACTGTATATTTTCATTTGGTCCTTTTTCTCCTTAAGTGTACTATAAAAAGATGATTAATCAAAAAGGAGGGCTCCCTTTGATTAAGAAAGTTAGTTATGAGTGGCTAACTTGATGTAGGTGGGAGGTTTCACTCAGCCATTTTATTTTCTTCTCCATGGGAGAGCTAGCAAAATGGGCCGTAGGAAATACTACAAAGAAGGAATCACTGCAGTAGTAAAAACCTTAAAAGGAAACTTCAACTTCCACTGCCATCATCAATAAGCAATGCCGAGAATGTTTCTTTGTCTACATTTTATTGCACATTTAATGGGCCTCCAAGTGCTATACAAACATTAAATATGTTTCCAAAATCCCATGATGGATTGTATAAGTAATCACCGTAAATTCATGCTCATTTCAGGACAGGGAAGCTGAGTCAAACCTGAATTGTAAGAAAGGAAATTGTTTTCATTATTGTGGAATTTACTCCTGGAGTCCCACAAAAAGCATTAAAAAAAAAAAAAAAAAAAAAGGCAGTGCTGGGAGCATGTGCTTTGCAGCCAGAATGCCTTGGTGAGATGCCTGGTTCTGCCTTCTTGCGAGTCGGGTGAGCATGGCAAAGTGTTTGTCTGCTTTGTGCCTCAGTTTTCTCATCTGTAAAATGGGGATAATAATGGTACCCTCTGTCAACTATTAGTTTTGACGATTGAGTCAATTTTCAAGAACTTCTTAAAATAAGGCTTTCCTTACATAGTAGTTCCTGTAGGGTAGTAGCTGTTGTTCTTTGGTATGGGACATCAGAATGTATAAATTCTCAGCAGAAGAAAGAATGTTGAACAGAGAAAGTATGCACAAGGTATGTATTTAGCCTTCTCAGCTCTCATGCATGTCTGTGTCTACACACCTTCAAGGGTGCTTCCCTGGCTGAGGCAAAGAGTGTGCCCCACATGGAAGTCATCTTTAATTTTATCCCAAGACCCTCACCTCTCGGGCATTCTTTTTCTGGTGTGCTGGAGAAAAGCTTGGGTAACAACACTCTTCTTCCCCTGAAGAGAGAGTCTAGCTGTCCTTTACAAGGCCAGGTTCAAGACCATTTTTCCCTGCTAGAATATCTCTGACTCTTTGCCACAGTTGTGCCCACCTTGGTCAGGATCGAGGAGAAAACCTAATGTTATAATTTGTTCATTGTCTCATGAACTGAACATGAAACTTGAAACACATTGCTGTTTCTAAAAGTTTGGTCCTCCCTCCCAAGCCAGGCCCTGTGCCCTTCACACTCGGTGGCCTCTCCTCCTGACCTGGCACGCAAAGGAACAATGAACTTGGCACACACCAAGTGCACACGTTTTCTCAGCACAAGTTACCCCTATGTGTCCAGTGATCTCCTCATGGGCCCCAGAGATTCTCCATCTGGCTGCGTTCTTTGCAGCATGGTTGGAAAGTCAAATGAAGCCGAATGTTCTCCTAGCGCTACCATAGTCACTTGCACACATGGGCATCTGGCTTTCAGGTAGTTTCTATATGTCCCACCCTTATGAGAAGGGATGAGTGACAATCTTTCTAGCCCCAGTCCTCTCAGGTGTAAAACAGCACTGATAAAAGACATCCACCTCAGTTGTTGTGGGTATTAAAGAAGATATAGCCATCTCTTATATTTAGTACGATTATTTTTAATGCTCAGTACAGTCGGCCCTGAAACAACACAGGTTTGAACTGGGTGGATCAGCTTATATGTGGATTTTTTTTTTTTTTCACCACCAGCATCCCCTTTAATAAAATGTGGAAGGTTGCGTGACCGGGGGCGGGGGGGGAGTGAAATATGACCATTTACAACCACAAAAAACCTCTGTACATGTCTAGCGCCTGGCAGAGGGGAGGGCAGGCAGGGCAGCGGCGGGTGGGGCCAGCCCTATTTGTAGAGGATGTCGTAGTGTCCAGGCCGATAGAGGAGGTACACCTTGGGCTCGGAGCCCTCGGGAAAGATGTGCGGGTTGGTGGTGCCGCCCTCGCCGCGGTCCATGTACTCCACCTGGATGGAGACGCTGAGGGCCTGGGCCAGCGCGATGATGTGAATGTGGTCGCTCTCCTTGCACATGGGCTCCACCTCCTGCTGACAGAACTCCTTGACCGTCCGCCCCCCCTCGATGAAGTGCTCGAAGAACTTGCTCTCCCGCTGCAGGTAGCCTGAGGTGAGCAGCCGCAGGTACACCACCAGGTAGTCCGAGGTGCTCTGGTAGTTGAAGGAGGCCAGCAGGTCAGCTACGGAGGTCTGCTTCTCCACCTGCTCGATCAGGTCCATGAACGTGTTGTGGAAATCCTCGATTGTGAACTCGGTAAAGCCCTGGGACACCAGGTCCTCTTTGCTCTTGGCAGACACGGCCTTAAACCGCTGCAATTCCTTGCTGTCGTCCAGCAGCGCCTCCAAGTGCGAGAATCCGAAAGCTCGGTAGAAGCAGTTTCCGTCGGGCCTGGTCTTGCGGATGTATGAGTACTTTTTGTGGAGGTCCTTGATCTTCTGTTGATAGATGTTGTCTATAGATCTATAGATAGATTTTTTTTTTTTTGGACAAATACAGTGCAGCACTATAAATATATTTTCTCTTTCTTATGATTTTCTTAATAATGCTTTTCTCCCTCTTATTGTAAGAATACAGTATATGATATGTATAACACAAAATATTAGTGTTAATCACCTGTTAATGTTACCAGTAATAGTAGGCTATTAGTAGTTATCCCTATGGATAAGATTGCGATACTGAATCATAGAATTGCCCTTGTGTTCTGACAGTGTTCTATCTAGGGTAAACTCTCCCTTCTTTGCCCTTCCCTGAAATTATCAATCAAAACCCCAAGTCCTATAATATGCTCTAACACCCTCTTACTGGTTCTTTAGGATTTACATACTCCCTTTTCCCCCCATTTCTTTCTTCTTCTTTTTTTTTTTAGACACTCCCTTACTTTCAAGAGTAATAAGCTCAACTCATCCAACTACAGAAGTGGTCCTTGATGTCATTGGCTTCAGGGCATTGACAGTCGTCATTGTTGACTCCCTGCCACCACTGCCCTTGAAGGATGCTGCCATCCCTACAACTATCTCCCTACTTCTTTGTGTCACTAGATCCAAAATGACTTCGTGTCATTAGTAACCACATGGGTACATCTGACTGGATGATAACTCTAGCAGCAGGGAAAATGAGAAACTGGTGTTTTTCGATTTCTTTGCATCCCACCAAGACTCAGAGAGAAGAGAATTTCTCAAACATAGTAAGGACATTTAGAAGGAGAGAGAGGGAGGGAAGGAGAGAAAAAAGGAGGGAAGGAAGGGAGAGGAGGAAAAGAAAAGAAAGCCTGATACGTTACTGTTAAAGTGACTCCCACAAAAAAGTGACAGTGAGCTAGAGAAAGAGAGAGGGATTGCATTGTACCCCCAAAATCCTGACCTGAGAAGATGTCCCTTCCTCCAGCTCCCAGATACGCCGTGGTGGTACAGGCAGAAAACCGGGATGGAGCGCTAGCTACACCGCTGTTTGTTCCCTAGTGACAAGCTAGTCTTTTGGTTTCTCTTCTGTGTCAGTGAGGATTATGTTTGACCACGCAGATCAGGGAAACCCAAATAGCAGTGGTTTAAGTCAGATACAAGTTTCATTCCCTTTTAGTGGTAGTGTCCGTGGTGCTCAGCTCCCCTCTACTTGCTGCTTCATCATCCCTAGCACATCTAAGTTCCAGGAGCAAATCTCTTCACCTTGTTATCTTTACATGTATATCTCAGCAAGCAGAAGGAAGAAATGACCAAGAAGTTCTCCTGCTTCCCTTCTCCTCTCAGGAAGTCTTCCTAGAACTCACATACAACACAGAATTATATATCTGAATGGTCAGACCTTAGTCACAGGCCTACACTAAACTGAATGGGGGACAGGGTGCTGGAGAAGCTAGACATGTAGCTGGGCAAAATGTCAAGAGGAATGGCAGAATGGTTGTTGGAGCAGCACCTAGAAGTCCCAGCCACAACTCATTTTAAAACTTTCAGTGCACTTGAATGAGCAAATGTATGTGAACTACAGTAACATACCTGCTGAAGAAAAATGTATCACCTTCAGAAACATGTACTAAGTTGTCTCAGCCAGCTCCCTGGAATGCTTAATTCCCTACTACCAGATTCACTAATCAGCTATACCCTGGACCTTTAAGGCCATGGTTAGCCTTTTCCTTCTTTTTCTAAATTCTGTTTTCCCAGAACTAGAGGAAGTGACATTGTTAAAGCTGACTCCTTACAACCCAATCAAGAAGGATAAAAAAGAGTTTGTTTTAAAAAGAAGATGAAAGCTAAATTAACAAATATGAAACATATTTATTTCACTTCATTCTCTGCCAGAATGTACATTTGCTGTGGTACAGATAAATGGTTCTCAAATTGTGATCTCAGGGCTATTGGTGGTCCCATATGTCCTAGGTGGTCCTGTGGCTAATTACAAATATGTTCTAAAATTCAGGCTAAATGTTTGTTTTAAATTTGTTTTAATTTACTTGATGAATTTAAATCAAAATATAAGAATCAATATTTTAAAACTGTAACCTCAGCAATGATTATTAATTTGAGAAAAGATTTCTCAAGATTTTGTGTGTGTGTGGTAGTAGGGTAGGTGGTCCAGTGGGTCTTGCCCAATCTTCCTGTTCTGCGACTGCAAAAAAATTGAAGGGATAGAGTCTATCCTCTTTAGCAGAGGGTGATCCATGGGGCTATAAGACTAAAATCATCAGTTGTAGAGGACCCAACAGTAAGCTTGATGTCAAAATACAAGAATCCATGTAGGGTCTATGAAATGAGCTTTCTGCGGGAATGGACCTACAATAGCCTACCTTTATTGTGAATTAGAGTCATGTTATCATTATGCAGAGACCAACAAAGACACCCTTAAAATGTAACCAAGGTTAAAGAGGTCAGTTTAAGCTTGAAAATTGTAGTATTACTACCAAACTGGGGAGTAAAAACACATGATAGGTTGATAGAATTAAAAAGAAAAAAAGTATTTGAGAATAAGAAGATTGTAGGTTTATACAGTTTTGTTGTGTTTTTCAGGGAAGAGGGTATGCCAAATAAGTCACACTGTTGTTCATACTGGATTGGTTGTTCCATCAATCAACTTTTGCTCATGGCATTATTTCTTATACTACACCAACCCTATTGTAATTCTGGATTCAGCAGGTAATTGTCTAATTTTTTAAAATTTTTATCTATTTATTTGAGAGAGCGAGAGAGAGGCAGAGGAAGAAGCAGACTCCCCACTGAGCAGGGAGCCCCACGTGGGGCTCCATCCCAGGACCCTGGCATCATGACTGGAGACAAAGGTGTAGACGCTTAACTGACTGAGCCACCCAGGTGCTCCATAATTTTCTAATTTTAATTTGGTTTCACAAGAGATACCAATCCTTGATCAAAATGTGTGTGTATGTGTAAATTTGCACTTGGGCTTTAAAATTGGCTACTTTTAATTCATTCTTTTATTCATTTATGGTGCTTTACCGGGCACCTACTTAGCTCTAGAGACTGTGTTAGGTACTGGAGATTCACTAGTAGTCTCATGGAAGATAAGATCCTATGGACCAAATTTACAATATATGAATAAATAAAAATATATTTCTGAACCATGGATGACCAAACTTGGTAGTGTCATTCTGTAAAGCCCTTCTTGAAATAGCTTTCCTGGCCTTATGGTTTGCCTTAGACTGGGTTACCTCAAAAGCAGAACCTAAAATAATGGCTATAGTCAGGTACCTAAATTTGAGATGCAATTCTAGAAATCAGCTGTCAAAAGCAGGAGTAAGGATGGGCAGAGAATAAGAAAAAGTCATTAAGAAGATGTATTACTGAGTTGGCCCCAGTATGGGAAAATGGAGCTCAATTCTGTGGAATTCTCTGGAGGAGCCTGATGAAATACATGTCTAGATGGCTCACATTTGGGTCAAGGATGGCTCCATGGGTCAACTTCCCTGCTTTTCTAGAGTCTGCATGCACAAGTGCCAAGCCCATGTCCATGAGCATCCCATGCTGCAGCAGCTGAAGCCCCAGGATGGGAGGTAAGAAGTATGCAGCAACGATCTGGGGAAAAAGCACTCTCAGGTTACACCTGATGAAGTGTGGAGGCCGACACAGAACTGATTGCTACAACAATGGCTGGTCATGGTAGGAAGTGACTCCGAGAGGATGTGGAAAAATGCACAAGAAATGGCCTATAAATTATTCTGTGACAATGACAGTGGTCAGTAATGTGATAATCATCTTGTTCCCAGAATATCTTCACTATCTCCAGCTACCACCTCCGCCACGTCGGCCGCCTCTACCGATCTCCCTCACTACCAGCTCTACCACCTCCAGCTTCACCATCATGATCTCCTTCACTACCACCTTCACCACCACTGCTCCCCCGCCATGAATACTGCAGCCAGTCCCTTCCCTCCACCAGGAGAGCTGCCAACACTACTGTTAGACTACACAGCCACCTTCTTCCACCACCACCGAATATAAGTGACACCCAGACTGAGAGCATCACAAAACTCTATTCGGAATGTTGCTTCTGAGCATTTCTAATTCTTAATAAACAGTCTTTAGTCTTGGACTAAAAGTTCTTGCAGTAACTTAAATTAGGGAAGATTTGTTTCAGTCCTTAAGTAACAGTCAAGTGTTAAAAGGTTTTTAAATTTTGCTACATAATAATTTGGAAGTGGAAGAAGAAAAAAAATCCTTGAACTCTTTGTAAACTTGATATCATCACCAAAAGATACTAAAGAAACAATCAGAGGTTTAGACGAATTTTTGTACAAGAGTGTTAATTGCAGCATTATGTAGGATGATGAAAACTGGAAATAATCTAGTTTTCCAACAATTATATTATGGTATAATAAATCATGGTGTATATTTGAAAGGAGAAAAATAATGGTATGGGATAAAGTTCATGCTATATTACCAATGAAAAGGGTATGATAGAAGAGCTAGTGATCTACCCAATATCTATTCTCCCATTCTCCCTTTCCTTCTTATCAAAGAAACCTCGACTTTATCAGGACTGGCAATGTGCCCAACTAAAAGAACACTTGCTATCATCCCTTGAAGATGCCTGCAGGGATGATGATTCAATACCTGGGAATAAAGCACCCATCTTTCAAAGGTGAGGATAAAAGCTGTATGTTCTGAATGGATGAGCAGAAAGCTGGAATGAGCCTAGATCCTAAGGACTTCCTCAAGAGCTAGACCAGCCCTAGTCTGCCTATACTCAGAACTTTTTTTTTGTTTTGTATGCAAAGCAAAAACCTCTTTTTCTTAAGCCACTATAGTTGAGCTCTGTTAGGTGAGCCAAACATAATATTAAGTAATACCTACATGTTCTGCAATGTTTTTTGAAAAATGGTTTAATTGAGATAGTTTGCATACCATAAAATTCACTTGTTTTAAGTGCACAATTCAATGAATGTTATTTACAGAGTCGGCAACTTGTTTTCATTTTATAATTTTCACTTAGTTTTCTTATCATTTTATAGATAGTAC